GAACCAGGAAGATGAGGCTGGAGAAGTAGAGAGAGACCAACCATGCAGGGTAATGGGTGTTAAGCCAATAGGCTGGCTATTGCATTAATTCTGGTGACACAAAGCCAAGTCAAAATAGCTCAGGTTAGCCCTGGCTGGTTTGGCTCAGTGGATAGAGCTTTGGCCTGCGGACTGAAGGGTCCCCGTTTTGATTCCGGCCAAGGGCACATACCTGGGTTGCGGGCTCCATCCCCAGTAGGGGAAGTGCTGGAGGCAGCTGATCAGTGATTCTGATTATTGATGTTTTTCTCTCCCTTTCTCTTCCTCTCTGAAATCAATAAAGAAATATATATTTTTAAAAAATAGCTCAGGTTATATGAACGGGGCATAGCTGAAACAAAGTGGAAGAAAAAGGTCGCTGAAATGATATGTTCAAGACATTAAGAGGCCAGGGTGTTGGATGGATTGTCCACACGAAACCAAAAGTTCCTGAGAATGAGAACACCCTGCATGGAAAGGAAGACAGTGAGTTCCTTGCCAAAATCATCAGTGATCAGAGGGGTGTGAGTTAAAGATTGACGCATGATGGAGATGAAGAGGTATCAGAAAAGGATGGAGAAGGGGTTTGAACATATAAGGGAAGGAGAAAGGTTCTGGGGCAGTGTCAGGACGGAGGGGTGAGTTTAGAAGGTTGCAAGTTTCTGAACAGAATTCTGAAGTCAAATTCAGAAGCAGGAAGTATGGACACGGTCTGTGGGTCTGTGACAGCTGTCTTTGGACTGGAAGGGGAAACATAATCATTTTGGAGTGGAGGGAATCATTAGATTCAGTTAAGAATTGGGACCTATTAAAGACAGCAGAAATTCCACTGTTTTGAAGCCAATTAGAGGGAGGAAAGGATTGGGGGCTAGTCTGATTAATCAGTTGTCATCTTCGTGACCTCACTAGATTCTCAGCTCCTGAGAATCCTTACTAATGAACCTGAGGAAAAGGTTACCATCTGGGCCTACGAATGAAGAACCTTCCAGGAGACTGACAATAATTAGGTGGGGGTGCATCTGGACTTGTTCTGCTAGCAAAAGAGCTGGCTAGACCCATGAGCTGGTTACTGGAATCAGAGTTCTCATACCACCGGTACCTTTGAGATGGCAGTGGAGACAGGTCTCGGCATGACATACGAGGTCTCCATGTTTGGCCACCTACTACCTCATCTCTCACCACTTGGAGCTTTCTGCTCTGATGATAACAGACTACTATGGTCATTCCAGCATAAGCCAAGGCTGTTTTTTGCCCCATTGTCTGTGCTCATACCTTTCCCCCTGTGTGCTGTACATGCATGTGCTCACACATACACTCACAACCACGTGTCTTTATTTAGCTGATATCTTTTTAGGAATCAGCTTCTCCAAGAAGCCTTCCCTGGCCCCCAGGCTCATTTAAATAACTTTGTGCCCTGACCATCACCTGGCTTCTCACCATTCCAGCTTTTATCACTACAATATTGTCACTATGTCTCTCCCACACTAGACTAGGAGTTCCTTAAGAGTAGGAACTGTTTCTGATTCGCCTCAGTGTCCCCAGTGTCCAGCACAGGATCTGCCATCCCATTGAGCTGAGTTCTTATGACCCCCACTGTCCACATCTCCTCATCCACTTCCTCCATGCTCATTCCCACCTCGTTCATTCATCTAATCATTCAACCAGTACTCAGCAAGCACCTACTCCAACTGGTGCAGACACTCAGATGAATGACATGGTCCCTGTTGGGAGCTCCTTGTCAAATGGACTTCTGCATGCAGGGTGACATGTGCTATGGCAGAGGAAGCACAAGGAGAAGGAAGAGGCCCTATCTAAGCTGGGTCCTGAAAAATGAGAAGTTAGTTGGGTGAAGAGTTTTACTCAGTGCTGGCCCTAAAGGCTCCCATCCCCACTAACTTCTGGAGGCTTCCACCCCCTCTCCTCCCCTCCACTTTCTCCCTCCACTGCATTCCTGCACAGCCTCTGGTTTTCTCTACCTGGGTTAGAAATGTTCTAGTGTGTTCTGTCACTGTTCCAACTGAGAGCAAGACAAGGGGGCATAAGGGATAGAGCCCTGGCTAATGCCCCATCTCTAAACCTCAGTTTCCCTATCTGCAAATTACAAGTGATAACCCTTGTCTCACCTTAGCCCCTCACAAGGTTGTTCTAAAATTGTATTTGTGGCCCTGGCTGGTGTGTGTCAGTTGGTTGAGCATTGTCCTGTGAACCAAAGGGTTGCTGGTTCAATTCCTGGTCAGGTGCATGCCCAAGTTTTGGGCTCGATCCCCATTCTCTCTCCCATCGATGTTTCTGTCTCTTTCTCCCTCTCCCTTCTTCTCTCTCTCTAAAAAAAATCAATAAAAACATATTTTTAAAAATTTGTATTTGTGAACTGTTAAGGACTATGCACATGTGAGGAACTGACATACTTTTGTGCATTTAATTTTCATTACTGCCCTATAAGGTATAAAATATTTACCCCATTCTACAATATGAGAAGATAGGCTTAGGGAGATTAGGCAACTAATCTGCCATAGCACATGTCATCTTGCCTATGGTCACCCAGTTGGTAGCTGACTGAGATATGTTCAAATCCAGGCTGTCCAACTCCTGGGCTTCTTCCCACTGCCCACCTGCTCAGTGTGGCATATCTCCCCTCAGTGCCACTTCCTCAGAAGGCATTTGTGCTCCTGGCCTTGACCTGTGTCCTCACATTCATCTACACTGATGGTTTAAGGCTATTTACTTCTTTATTTGTTTGGGGGGAGCAGGCAACACCCCCAACACCTCCCCTACCACTGTCACTTGTAATAAACCAGTCAACAGCCAGAGTCCATTTTTATGATATTCAGTAAGGAAAACCTACATGCTGAAGGGTCTCTGAAGCTGACTAGGTTTCTATGGCCTGAGGATAATGAGCCAGCAGCTGCCTCCTTCTTCATCACAGGCTGAAATTAGCCTGCACTTTTGCAGCTTGCCTTTCTCAGGTCGGGAAATGGGCCACAGGAGAAGCTGTCAGCTGAGGTGGGCTAGCAGGGGTTGTACTCACATCCCAGCCTTCAAGCTGGGATGGCTGGGGAAAGAGCCTTGTTTGTACCTGGGGGCTTCAGCCTCTGTAGACAATGGGATATCAGGGAGAGGAGGGAAGAAGAAAGAGACCATCCTTCTTTGTGGGAGATGAAAAAGACAGAGAGGAGAGACGCAGATGAAAGAAGAGCAGAAAGAAGCTGTCATTATAACAGGCAACTTTTGTACAGCAATTTATCCATCACCTCGCTCAGTCCTCCCAACCTCTCTCAGCTGGAAGACACTGTTATTATTTCTATTTGACAAATGGGGTGTCTGAGACTCATAGAGGTTAAGTGATTCAAAAAGATGAAGTGACTTGCTCAGATTCAGACACGGTGGTAGTCAGATAAAAGCAAAGGAGGCCAAAGGTACTTGTAAAGGAAGAAAAAGACATGATCAGGGGGAAAAAAGGTAAGTGAGAGGGAGAAATAGGAGGCTGGATTGTGTATGGACTTGGGAGCTAGCCAAACCCAGATCTAGACCCAATTTCCACTAATACAGCCATGTGACCTTGTATGAGTTATATAATCTCTTGGAGCCTTGGTTTTCACATTTACAAATTGGAGAAGGTTCTATTTACCCAACAGGCTGCTGGGAAGATTAAGTAAGATGATATTTGTAAAACTCCTAGCATAGAGTCTGGCATATAGTAGGTGCTCAATAAATATTAGAGACCCCCAAGAAAAGAGTTCAAGGAACATAAGGGAAAAAGAAAAGCTAAAATGAAAAAAAAAAAAGGAAGAAAGAAGCTTTTGAGGAGAAATAAATACAGACTCCAAAGGAAGGGAAAGAGGTAGACAGACAAAAGAGGAAGGAGTAGGCTAGGGCAGGGGAGTAATGGAGAAAGTGGCTTAGACTTTCAAGGGTTGCCCCCAACCTGGCCAAGATTCCTCAGTTGGAAAGCAGCCACTTTGTCTGAATCAGGAGGGCCTTTCTTGTGTCTCCTAAGACAACCAAGTCCTGTTCATTGACACAGAAAGTGTCGTTAAAGATCTCAAGGTACAGAACAGTCAAGGATGTCCCATGCTTCCCGTGCAGTTTTCCGAGGGCCTTTTGGGGGGCTTGTTGGGGGAAGGAGAGATACCGGGCAATTCCAGGGGAATTCAGGAAGAAGGCACCCCACTGAGTGGTGATAAGCCTTTGTGTCTGTAGGTGGAAAGGGCAAATAGAGTTTTGCTTGTTCAGTGTGGATCTTGGGGTGCCTCCCAGAGCCTAGACGAGTGCTGGCCAGACTAGGGGGAGAGGGAGGCAGGGGGAAGAGGAGGGAAAGCTCTGGTCAAAAAGGCCAAAGCCTGCTTCTCATACTGGTGCCTTATCTTGGGCAAGTCGGTTTATTTCTCTAAGCCACAGTGTCTACATTAGTGAAATGGAGAGGGTCTGCCTGGACCCTTGTTCCCCCAGGTATGACATCACAATCAAATGAGATAATGGATGTGAACTGGGAAGTACTATGCACACATATTGAAGTATTCACTCTATTAGAAAATATACCTAATGACTCTCCTCTGTGTCAGGCACAGGGCTATATACATTTTACATTCATTATCTTGTTTAGTCCTTGAACTAATTCTATGAGGTAGGTAAACTTATCCCTATTTATAAACTGGGGCATTGATTCATGAAGAGAATAGGTGACTTTCTGGGAGTTACACAGCTGGTCAATGGTAGAGCCAGGGTCTAAACCAGTGCAGGTAATCCCTGCTCTGGGCTGTCTCCTTGAAGCAGAATTCCCTGCCCATGGGATTAGGCCTCCTTGCTTCTCCCCTGAGCACTGGCT